AACAAAAGCCCCAGCAGACTCTACAGCCACGCAGCCACTGATTCTAGTCCATGTAACAAAAGCCTCAGCAGACTCTACAGCCACGCAGCCACTGATTCTAGCCCACCTACCCTCATGTCATCATGCAGACTCTTCAGCCACATAACCGATGATTCTAGTCTACGTACCTTGTGCCACTGCTGACTGACCCCAGCAGGAAACAGCTCTTGCTCATCGCCTAAGTGCTCCTTCATTTAAGTGTTATTTGGCTCGTTCTGGCCAAAGATAAACTGAATAGTGATTGAATCACGTGGACTCCCCTCCCTTACCAAAGTGCCAATGTTCTCTATTCTTAGGATGATCTAAATCCTTAGCATGGCTTCTACGCCCTATAGAACTCAGCCATTACTTGCTTCCTGGCCCTGTTTTTGGTAACTTTCCCTCACTGTTTGAGCTCACCTACCTCGACTTCATTTCCAAGCACGAGGCCTCTTTCCAGACCAAGATCTTTGCATATACCTATCTTTAGCTCAGAAGCCACCTCCTTTCCCACCTTCCCCAATCCATTCCTGCATCTTTTTAGTCTTTTTCAGAAGAGTCTTCTATAGCTCCTGCTGCTATTACAGCATTTTTTTTTTTAAATCTTGCTCTTCACTATAGAACAGAAACTGAAAACTCATGAATTGAGTTTTATATATGTGGTGTTAGTGCTATTCTGTCATAACATTGGCATGTAGACAGAGAACAAGTGATGAACCTGGTTTCCCCAGCACCTAGCACAATTCCTGCCTGAGGAAGGCCACTGATATGTGCTGAGCAACAGAGAGGCTGGTCAGGACTCTCAAGATTCCTACAGCTCCTCGCCAGCTGGACCTGTGGGTGGATCCTCTGGAGGGACACTGAAGCTGCAGTTGTATCCAGCCAGGATCATGGACACTATCAGGAACTAGAAGCTACTGGGACAGGGGTATCAGCAGGTGGCCCACGCTGCCCACTGAGGCTCTCTCCTGCCTGGCCCTAACTTCAAACACTTGGGCCCTAACTTGCAAGGCCATTCTTCACTCTAGTGAACACTGAGGTAAGAATGGACAACCAATGGTTGTGGTGGAGCATGCCTTTAATCCCAGCACTCGGGAAGCAGGAGCAGGTGAATCTCTGTGAGTTCAAGGCCAGCTTGGTCTACAAAGAGAGTTCCAGAGCCAGACATGGTAGTGCATGCCTGCAATCCCAGCACTCGGGAGGCAGAGGCAGGCAGATGTCGAATCTCTGAGTTCCAAGACTAGCCTGCTCTACAAAGTGAATCCAGGACAACCAGGGCTCCACAAAGAATCCCTGTCTCGAAAAACAAAAACAAGACAACAAACAAACAAAACAAAACAAAGAGAGTTCCAGGACAGCCAAGGCTACACAGAGAAACTCTGTCTTGAAAAACCAAATAAATAAATAAATAAGCCTTTGCACATACAGAAATACCATCGCTAGCTCCAGTGGTCAGGTAAATGTTGTCCGGGTCTGCAGGCACACCATCTCTCCTTGTGATAAAGGCTGCCACGTCTTCCCGGATACAGTTAACACCCTGGCTGGCACTGTAAGATCCTGTAAGATAACAAGCAAGGTGATGAGTAGAGGCAAGATGTCTGGTTCAACAAAGTGAGTGTGATTCTATCCATGTAATTAACGGGGGGTAGATGGCTGTGGACACTAAGGGAGGGCCTCTTTCCCACCTCTCTGGGCTCTGGAACTATGGCAAGCTGCTTAGCTACTTCTTTGGGCTCATCCTTCCACCCAGGGTTTACTGAGTATCTGCTACGTTACCCTAGCTTCCAACGTGTCAAACGGTGCCCATACCCGGGATATAGACATGTCTTACGACAACATGGGTTTTCCCTGCCTCAGTCAGTGTTCTACAGACTGCACATGGTTCTACAGAACTGGAGAGAGTGGGCTGGCACTAACTCTCCAACATAGCTCAGAGCTCTAAGCACCAACGCAGACGCTGGAGGCCGACTCTGGAGCATCTAGCCACCACTGACCCCTTCCCCTTACACCTCTGCTTAGAAGCCACCTCCCTGAGTGAGTGCTCAACTACTTCCCAGTTTACAAACTGGCACATCACCGTTGCCAAATTCCCTAGCCACCCTAAATAATCCAGCCCTCCTCTTTTGCTGGATCACACCCAGTCCTGAACCTCAAGGTTTCTGCCCCTGCTGTCCTACTATCTGTTGTGCATCTGTGAGTTCTTTTTCACCCACACTTCTCTCTCTTTTTTTTTTTTTTTCTTTTCCTTGGTTTTTTGAGATAAGGTTTCTCTGTGTAGACCTAGCTGTCCTGGACTCACTCTGTAGACTAGGCTGGGCTTGCACTCACACCGATCCACCTGCCTCTGCCTCCTGAGTGCTGGGATTACACGTGTGTACCACCACTCCCAACTGCCCATCCCCCTCTTGAGTTTGCATGCTAACCTGTCCTCTTTTTTTCCTTCTGTGTTTTGTTGTTGTTTTTGGCTTTTGGTTTTTTTGTTTGCTTGTTTGTTTGAAACAGGGTTTCTCTGTGTAGCCCTGGATGTCCTGGAACTCACTATGTAAACCAGGCTGGTCTCAAGCTTGCAGAGATATGTCAGTGTTGAGATTAAAGGCGTGCACTGTCAATTAAACTCTCCCTGATGAAATCCTGCAGCTTTCTCCCTCTTATCCAGTAAGTCACGAAAGCTGGGAAGGACACATATATATAAAATTCACAGGAATTATTTTTTTAAGAATTAGATATGTGGGTAAGCATCTATGTTTGCATGTATGCACACACAAAAGTATTGGACCCTCTAGGAGCAAGAGTTACAGGTAGTTGTGAGCAGCCTAACATGGGTGCTGGGAACTGAATTCCAGTCTTCTACAAAAGCAGGACATGTTCTTCAGGCTGAGCCATCTATCTCTCCAGCTCCTGATTATTGCTGGTGTTTGTCTCCTAAGTAGGAACACACTCCCTGAGCACAGAAAGCCCATTCACCTCACCCACTTGCATCCCTCAGTGTGGGGCACAGCACCAGGTACATGCGTGTCTGGAGTGGGTGAGACAGCTCCATAGCTCCCAACTTCTCACTAGAAAGAAACTTTTTTTTTTTTTTGAGATAGGGTCTCTATGTAGCTCTGGTTGGCCTCAAATTCTGTCTGCCTTGGCCTGCCTCAGCCTCCTGACTGCCGGAATTAAAGGGTATGTCACCATGCCCAGCCAGTGAAAAATGATTTTAAAGGTCATGAGAAAAACATAGGTGAACTTTTAAGATTTCATGCACAGGGCCTAGAAAGACAGCTTAGCAGTTAAGAGGGCCTCCTGTCCTTGCAGAGGACCCAGATTCAATCCTCAGCACCCATATGGTGGCTCACTACCACCTGTGACTCCAGTTCTAGGGTGATTCAACACGCCCTGCTGGCCCCATGGGCACTGAACACACCTGGGGCACATAGAGACAAAGTAGGCACAAACACATATGCTTAATTTTTTTTTAACTTAAAAATTAAAGGGATGGCTTAATTTAACCTCTGAGGGATGGCTCAGAGGTTAAAAACACTGACTGCTCTTCCAGAAGACCTGGGTTCAGCACCCACATGACGGCACATAACTGTCTGTACCTCCAGTTCTAGGGGATCCAATGCTCTCTTCCTGCCTCCACAGACACAAGTGGAACCCTGGCATACATGCAGGCAAAATGCCCTATACATAAATTAAAAAACAACCTTCATGTGCATATTCAATCATTTGTACTTGAGTCAGCATGCTCCTAGAGTGCACTGACCCATCCCACTTCCTTTTACTCCTACGGCAGGAAACAGTTTGGGCTGCCTAAGGCCCAGCTGACAGTGACCTCAACACCCCTGTTAAAGAGGGGCCACACTAACTGTCCCTTGCAGTGAGCAGGGCCTGGTTACCTCTACATCTAACGTGAGGCTCTAGCATCGCATCAGCCTTTCTTTTAAGTGCAGGATGTGGGAACAAAATAAAGATGAGAAAGAAGGCTCAGAACGCATTTCCCTAGTCTATTCACGAGTCCCTGGGACAGGGCCTAGGGTAGGCCACGGAACTCTTATGCTGTCCTGATCTCCTGCTATAGCACCTCAAGAAAGCCCTTCCATAGACACAGCCTCCCACCCCACCCTCTAGCTCTAGCTGAAAAAAAAGGGACAAAAATCAATAGACGAGGTTCAGTGGGGGAACAAAAGTCCATTTCCTCCCCCCCCCTCACGTTAGACACACAGACACACGTAAAACAAATTCCCCTCCCCTGCCTGCCTCTCCAGTGGACCTCCTGGAGATCTCAGGGCCACTGGGTCTTTGAGAAAGGCATTTAGCCTCTGTGTTGGGCAGAGGGTACGCGAGAAGAAATGCCTCTGTAACACATGCTGCCTACGGCTCAGAGCTGAGACTGCCAGGCAGGGAAGCAGGGGGTACTAGCCCCTACCAAAGAGACACTAGAGTGCCCAGATCAAGAGTGCTGATAGAACTGCCATGACCAGCAGGCAAACACAGAGCCCACAACAAGGGACAGAGCAGAAGAAGAGGGAGGGGAGCACGAAGGGAGGCAGATACCAAGGAGCTGTTTCTGACTTCAGAAAACTATGTCTTACTCTTGGCTCTAGGTCGCAGAATATTAGGGCACAGAAAGCTTTAAGAAAACTGGTTTTTTGATTGAGATATGCTGTGCAGGCACTCAGGGGAAAGACGGGGGACATAAACAGGAAAGAAAATGAGATGAGAACAGAGAGCTAGAGGCCAAGAGTTGGATTCTAAGCAGGGTAGGGAGGAAGAATATCATTTTCACAACCACAGGGGTCAAATCCCAGGACCTCCCTCCACATAGCCAGAGCTACTTGGCGCTCTATCAGGAGTCAGATTGCTGGGTCTGGGCCTGGGCTTGGGCCTGGGCCTGGGCCTGGGCCTGGGCTCTCCACAAAAAGGAACAGAGGTAAGGTTCAAGGGGTAATGGGAACAATTTAATTAAAGAAAGCTAAACAAAGCAGGCTGGCTGCTTCCTGACCTCAGCAAGTAGTACCCACTTCATAGACACAAGAAACTTGAGCAAAGCTAGGAACTGACCTTCTATTTAGCCTCCTGATGCTAATGCTGGTCACTGAGCTAAACTTCCGTCGGCCTAAACAAACCCAAAGCCAGAAGAACGAGGTACTTGTACTTAAGCACCCGAGCCACCAGAAGATGGCATGAATGCCACTGCCTTAGAAAATCAGAGAGTGAAGGTGAGCATCTGCCACCTTCCACACAACAGTCACCTCACAGCCCTTTGCTTGGTGAAGGGCCCAGACTCATCCTGAACCCACATTTATCTCACATCCTGGAAGACCTTGCAAGTTGGGCCTCACCCAAGCTGTTTCCACCACAAGCCTGCAGGATCCGCCGGGCTCGTTTCTTAGCATCTTCTGGGAAGCTGGGGCTGTTTAGCAGATTTGGGTAGGTGCAGAGTGCCATCACCTAAAGAAAGACGGTACAGGTGAGCTTACAGTATGGTACCCTAGCACAGAGGACACTGGCCAAGCTGCATCGAGAAGACAACTCGAAAGCTGCACTGCAAAGAGGAGCCATGGTGGAGCGTGAGAACCCTACACAGCCTTGGCCTCTGCTCATCCATGAAGAACACTGGACCCAAACATCCAGGACCAGAGGAGCTAGAGGGTCTCCTGGGCAGGGGACCAGGCCTCAGTGGGCAGCAAAATCTCACTGACGGGAACAAGGCTTTAAGACCCCTGAGGACACATAGCCTGAAGCCTTCTCATCGTGTTCTTCTGGCCTAATCTTCAGATCTGAAAGCTGGACTGGCTTTTCCTCCCTGTAACTTAAAATCACCCTAAACAGCCCAAGAGGATTAACGAGGGCTTTGTGTGACCAGGTGCATACCTGTCTAAAGCTGGCAGCTGGGAAACCAAGCCACGCTCACCAAAGGGAAGAACAGGTCAGAGCGCTGATACCGGTCAGGTGACTACCTGGCTTCTTGGCTTTCCTTCCTCTGTGTAATGAGCAAGAACCTAGCTCCCCCTCCCCCAAAGGCACTATGAAGATCAGAGGAGACAGGTGATGGCTACAAGGAGCTGACACACTGCATGACAAGTTAGAACAGCTGTGGCACAGGCCTGGGTCGACTTTGGGGAGGAGTTTGAAGCCTATAAAAGTAAATATTGTTGGGAGCCTACTCACACCTGGAGCCCAGATCCACACCTGGAACCTCTACTGATAATCAAGGACCCAGGCATTCCTACTACCTCCACTCGTCTTACTGTTTGCTGCCCTAATCCCCTCATCTCTAGTCTTCTGAAACTCAGCAACAGTGCTTGCAGGGCATTCCTCAGGCCAGGAATATTCTCCTCTGTTATACAAGGGCCTTCTAGCCCCCAACAGCTCTCTGACCCAAAGGACAAGATGAGGGAAGCTCCCTCTGGGTCACTTCTGACACAGGTGGTGGCACAGGCAAGAAAAAGGGAACACGCTGCCCACTTTCAAAGTTTGTTACACAAATAGGACTATTGTTATTTCGGTCCAAAACAGGCCCAATCCTTCTCCAGGAAAAAGCTTTCCATAGCTCAGTCTCCTCCTGTTCAGGCTTAACAGTGGCATTTTCTGACCACGTTTTCCCTTTCCCTGGCCCTGTGTTGTTAGCCCTCGCAATGTTTTGTCAATGATGTTCAGACATAAACCCGGAAACCCGCCATCAACTAGAGCCCTTCTGAGGGAGCTGAGTTATACTGGAGGTAACTGAGGGCAGGTGGCAGTGGCTGCTCTAACCTGTGCCTTTTGCTGGGCTTGAGGAAGACCTCCACCTGCCTCCAAGGCACCCTGACAATTTCCACTTGCATAAGGGCAGCTAGCCGCTCAGGGGTTCCCTCTGGGCTGTATTATCACCCTGGTGTACCTCCTCTTGTCCCACTGGGCTTGCACCTCTGTCCCACATACAAACATGAACATCCTCACCGAAGCTCTTCTGTCAGGACCCCACACTGAACACTATAGGAAAGAGCCTTCTTGGAAGCATCCTATCCCAGACCAAACCCAAAATGGGTTAAAGTATTTTTGCTATAACATTTGGAATGGGAATTGCTGAGAGAGAGAGAGAGAGAGAGAGAGAGAGAGAGAGAGAGAGAGAGGACAACAGGCACCTGAAATAGCTGCTACTTCTATGGTCCATCTTTGAGGGATGCTGGAGCTCACTGTACTGATCCCTCCCAGGTTCTAGTTCAGGGCCCCCAGAGGGCCATGGGCTGGCTCACCTGACGGAGGAAGGTGATTGGCTGCTGGCCCATAGCATGGGCATCCCCAATGTTGGCTCGGATTACCTCGGTGAATGGCTTTTTGATACCCTGCAGAGAGAAGGCAGCAGGTGGTTATTTAATGACTCTCAGACCCTACATTCCAAGGGGTAGTATTGCCATGGGGTATTAATAAACAACGCTATTTCGAGCCTCACCAAATGTCAAGCTCAGTGCTAACTAAGCCTGGGACATGCCTAGTCCCATTTAATCTTCACAACCATTTCTGTGAGGAAGAACTAGTAGCAACCCCATTTTACAAATGAGGAAACTGAAGTTCCAAAAGCGTAACAAACCTCCTCAGTGTCACAAACTGATAAACACAAGTATTAGGATTTGAACTTGAAGCTAGGCCCTCCTGTGGGTGGCAATCACTCTGCTCTGTCACCTCCACTTTCTGGACAAACTGGAAGAGCTGTTAGGTAGCTGGCGCACCCCGAGCCAGCTTCATGGCCTGTCATTCCACAGGGATGTCTAAACACTGGGACCAAAGCAGTATAAGAGAAATAACAGAGGCCAGCAGCAAAATATGCCAAATGTCAGTGAGAGAGAGCCTACATGCCCTGTACCCTCTGCCCAAGCAGTTTCACTCTGAAACCATAAGCAAGAGGCTAGAGACACTGAGTTCACATTCCTTTCCTCAAGACATTCGTCCCTGGGAGCTGGCCCCTGGCCTTGTTCTCCTGCAACCCTGGCTTTGCAAAATGGCTAGTTTTCTTTTCTTCTTTTTTTAGCAGCAAGGACAGATGAGAGAATGAGCTAAGCACTAAAATAGGGATGACAGAGGCACTAACAGAGATATTTGGATGTCACTAGGGAGGTGAAGGAAAGACACTTCAGATGCTACTGAGGCTAAAAAGGGTCATGGAGATGCAAGACATGGGATTTTCTACACATGATAAATCCAGAATCAGCTACTGGGGGTGTAGGCTAGACAGGCTCAAGGACCTTTTCTGGTGACTGAAAAGACAGTCAGGAATAAACATCACCTCACACAGCCAGTTTAGGAAGGAGGCCCCAAGTGTCACTGGGCAGGAAGAAGGGATGACAGTGGGAAGGCCTGGCTGCCTCCCCATTTCCAGCCCTGCTTTCCCAAATACAAAATTTAAAGATACAATTCTATGGGTCTGATACTGGTGAAGTTTGTTCTGAGTGTGTGTGTGTGTGTGTGTGTGTGTGTGTGCGCGCTGCATGCGTGCACCACGCTCAGGTGTGTGCTTAAGCATGGGCAAACATGGAGAGGCCAGAGGAGGATGCGTTACCCTCTATAGCTCTCTACCTTATTTCTTTGAGACAGGAGGTCTCACTGCCCCGGGAGCTTGCTGTCAGCCAGCCAGCCATGGCAATCTCTGCTCCCATAAGCACTGGGGTTTCAGGTGAGTCGGTAACTTGTGTTTAGCTGGGGATTTGAACTCAGGTCCATGGGTACATAACAAGCATTCTTTCTTTTTCTTTTTTTAAAAGAAACTTCTGCCTTCTTTATTTTATTTTTAAAGTTTTATTTATTTATTATGTATACAATGTTCTGTCTGCATGTACACCTGCATGCCAGAAGAGGGCACCAGATCTCACTATAGATGGTTATGAGCCACCATGTGGTTGCTGGAAATTGAACTCAGGACCTCTGGAAGAGCAGCCAGTGCTCTTAGCCTCTGAGCCCCACAACAAGCACTCTTACTGAGTCACCTCTTCGGCCCTTCCCCACCATGCTTTTTTACAATCAGTAATACACCTTTCAACTGAAAAAACAAAAACAGAAGAAAGACAGTGAGCTCCAGAAACAAAAACAGCTGCCACCTAAGTTTTTTTTTTTTTCTGAGCCCCATTTATACCCCTAAATTACAAGGCATAGCAGGCCAAGAAAAGAAGCCTAGAAAGAGCTTCACAAACAGAAACCAAGTCTCTGAAAGGTGCATCTTGGGGACAGGGGACCCTGGAAGTGACTTTGGTCCCATCTTTTGAGCTATTCAGAGATGGTCAATATGGAACATTATTCCTGGCAGTCAAACACCCCCAGACTTCTTACTGCACCAGGCTGCGTTGGGGAGAGAGCAGGAGAGAAGGGCATATGGCTGCAAGACTCATCCCGCAGGCATGAACCAAGAAGGCCAATGGGGGATATGAGGTACCTACCTACCTAAGTCACTCTGTATAACTGCAGGCAAGCACCCCCTAGCGCTGCCTAAGTTCCTGCTGAGGAACCCTTTAAATCAAGGTAGCTCTCAAGCCTACAGCTACTGAGCATTGGTGACTTCTGTGGTATAGCCAGAGCCTATTCTTCAGTAAGAAATAAATCTGTCACAGCTATGAAGGCCAAGACGCAACACAGTTGCAGGCCTGGGCCCTGGGCCAGCCCAATACAGGAAGAGATAATGCCTGGACGTCCCTTCACTGTGGCCTCCCCCGGCACCATTCAGCCAATTCAGGGCTTGCTGACACAAAGCCTGGGAACACTGAGCAACTCCTTTGGTCCATGGACACTTTGCATGATGGATGCGCTTGGGACAGGAAAGCGACTCCCTTGAATTGACAAGCAGGCCACTCTACACAGCCAACAGCAACCACTGGGGAGGGTGTTCTGGGCAGACAGTGTCTACATGGGTTGGGAAATACCAAGGTACCTCAGAAAGACTTTGACCCAAAGTGCTCATCCAGGCGTGGTTTGCACACTCAGCGGCACACTGTCCCCAGTGAGGAGCCCTGACGTTGGCCTAACAAGCACGGAGCGTGCTGGTTGCCTCTCACAGCATTCTAGAGTCCATCTGCGCAATGCACCTGCAGGGTGTCCAGCTCACAACTTTATCCCATGCGCTGAGAGAGGGCCCGGGGGAGGGGCGCTCTCATCTCACTGCTGTGACTTACACAGGGTTGGACAATGGTGAAACATGTCTTCAGAGGGAAGCTGAGGAGAGGCTCAGCTGATGAAGTGCCTGCATCACAGGTGCATTCAAGCCCCAGAATCACATAAAAAATAAAAACAAAACCAACTCCAATGCAATGGGGTATGTTTGTAAAATCAGTGCTGGGGAGCTGGAGACAAGTGAATTCCTGGTGTTCACTAGCCTAGCTGAAGCAATGAGTTCCAGACCAATGGGAAGCATCTACAGAAGAAAAGCAAACTTGTGCTATGGCTTCCACATGCAGCCTACACAAGTGTGTACCTGTACGTGCAGGAAGGTGCGCACACACGTGTGTGCTCACACACACACACACACACACACACACACACACACACACACACACACA